AGGCTGAGCCCCGCTTTGTTATTTTCAAAACACCTCACCTTTAAGTTGAAGTCCCCCATCACCACCAAATCTTGGGCTTTGGATGATTTTGTTAGTTGCTTAAAAAAAGCCTCATCCACCTCTTCCACCTGGTTAGGTGGCCTGTAGTAGACTCCTAGCATGACATCTCCCTTGTTATTTGCCCCTTTTAGCCTAACCCAGAGACTCTCAACACTTCCGTCTCCTATGTCCATCTCTACCTCAGTCCAAGTGTGTACATTTTTAATATACAAGGCAAAACCTCCTCCCTTTTTCCCCTGTCTATCCTTCCTGAGGAAGCTGTACCCATCCACACCAACATTCCAATCACGTGTATTATCCCACCAAGTTTCAGTGATGCCAACAATGTCATAGTTGTATTTATTTATTAGCACTTCCAGTTCTTCCTGCTTATTCCCCATACTTCTCGCATTTGTATAGAGGCATGTAAGATACTGGTTTGATCTTGCCTCCCAGTTTTGTCCTGACCCTCCTTTCTCTCTGCCAATATAGCCCACACTCCCTCTCGTTTCCGACCCATCTCCCAGGTCTCCATGCTGGGAAGCTCCCGAGTGGGACTTGGGGAAAATGCACAGGGAATAAACCGCCTCAGTTGTGTGCAAAGGGTCTGTCCGTCCATCCCTACAAACACACATCCGTTCGTCTGTCCAGCCAGCTGTCTCCCCACCCCTGGTGTCATGCTGTCCAGCGGTGGCTCGTGAGTGCGGGTGCAACCCCAGGGCAGGCCGGCAGGAACCAGGGTGCAAACCCAGCCAGGGCGTGAGTTCTGTACTTCCAGGCTCTGTAACAACCATGGAGTCACAGACAGTCCCCATGGGTATCGAGCTACCTCGCCACCTTCGTGATAACAGGGCCCTGACGCCAATCGTCAGGTTCCTCTCAGGCCCACGGGACCAGACACTTCCCCCAGGTCAGTTCCACTGGAGAGCTCACGCCAAGGACAACGCATGTAGAGATGGACTGCGTAGGAAAAGGAAACCAGAGAGTCACTGACAAGGTTAAAGCAGATAAACATGGAGGCCTCTTCTGTTTATCAAGGAGTCTGGTGGCACCTTCAAGACTAACAGATCTGCTGGTCTTTAAAGTGCCACTGGACTCCTTGTTGTTTTTGTGGGTACAGACTAACAAGGCTACCCCCTGATACTCAAAAAATAATAGAAGCTTCTATGATAAATAAGCTCCGTGGGTACGTCTACACTGCGACTCCTGGGGCGCATGGCTCGGCGGTCACCTCGCGCTCCCCGTCAGTGCCCAGGCTGGGCTGGGCCAGCTACTGACAGAGCTGTCCCTAGGGACCCCGGGCAGCATGGGGCCAGCAGCACGGAGCCCCTGGACCTCCAAGGTCTCAGCAGATCAAAGCAAGCGTGTCTATCACACTGAGGAGATTTAAACTCCAAGACTCCTTATAAGAAATGGAAAGGGAGGTGGATATTTTTTGCTGTTTTTAAAATGAAATCAGCAGCTAGGATTGTTTTTAAAATTATTACGAAGAACAAGTTTAAGCTTTGTTGTAACGTGTGCTGTTTGCCTGGACTGCTCAAGACCTGAATGCTTGTATAAGAGGAACGCTTTGTGTTGGCTTCTTACATACCTTCCTGCTGTTTAACATCTGATACTTCTTGATGAAATATAGGAGCCTTGTCTTATAACAGACTTATTCAAAGTGATACAAGCTACCAAAGTGAGATCTTGGAAGAGTGTTGCCGTTTTCATAATGTAAGAAAAATACTGTCATGATACATAATAATTAATAATAAATAGTGTGTAATAAGCGTGTCATAAAAACAAATTTTATATTTCCAAGATCACGGCTTTTATAATTTATACTCAGGTGAAGGAGAAAATCCCTGGAAATATTCATTTTGAGGAGGGGGTTCACGAGACTTGACGTTTTGGTGAAAGGGGTTCACAGGTGGTTAAAGTTTGGGAACCACTGAAATAGAGGGTAAGGATATTACCGTGTAAGGCTCGTTCACTGGTAGAAAGATCCTGCAAACCCGCAGATTACGCCCTGAGCCCTAGGAACTGAGGAAAGACGGGTGCCCAGAGTGTGTGGGTAACAGGTGCTCTTGGCTGGGATCTTCAACCTCCTGCCTCAGAGCTTCGGACGAGGCCTCATGTGGGGGATGAATTATCTGTGGGGGTTTCACGCCATCCCCTGGCCAGACAGGACACTGGGCTAGGTGGACGTCGGCTCGGATCTGCCTGGCCATTCCCATGCGCCAGCCCCCAGCGCAGAGGCGAGAAAGGCAGGCTACTGAGAATGCGCGCTCTGCAACCGGCCTCCTGCATGCTTGCTTTCCTCCCGGCTCCCTTTCTCCCCTTCCACGCTTCCCTGGCTCCGAGCGCACTGGTTAATTCCCTATCCGCCGGCTCCCCACGGCCGGCAGCTCTGCTTCCCGCCTGGGGATTTATGATCAGAAGAAGGGGCTTTTCATGGACTAAGCAAATCTCAGGTTCCAATAACTGCGCTGCCGTTTAGTCCTTAAACATCCCTGGAGATCAAATCAGCGCCCCGCCTGCTCCCCACCTTTGCCTCGCGGTTTGGGGTGGTGCCTCCCTGCCCCGCTCCCCGCAGGTGGTTGGAGACTGGGACGTCGGAGAGGGTGTTTAGTTTCTCTCTTCTCTGCGTTTCCCTGCTCTTCCCCAGCCAGCTATGGGAAGGGCATGCACCATGGGGAGGCTGCAGGAGAGAGCTGGGGCTTGGGGGGGGGAGTGACCAGACACAGTCCGACTCGGATACCCCCTCCCCACTCCTTGGCTTGCTGCTGTGAGGGGTCTGCAGAGGGCAGAGGCCCCAGGCCTGGGGGGTCTGCCTCCAATTTTGCCCAGATCCCTCAGTTTGATGTTCCCATCTTGTGCCATGCTCTGGCAGCGGCTGGGCTGGTGTAGGAGGGTGACTCTGGTTGTGGTCCCTGGAGCAGGTGTTGCTTCTGGAGGTCCCCTTGGGGGCTCCACGAGGGTTAAAGTGTGAGCTCATGGGGGCCAGGGGTGGGGGTGAGTGTGTGTGTGTGCTCCAGAGCCCTGGGCCAGACTGCAGGGGTGGGCCCGTGGGCTCGGCCCTCGGGAGACCGGGGTTCTGTTCCTGCCTCCCTGATTTCACTGAGGTGCCAAGTTCCTGCAGCTCCCGGGAGCAGGGCTGCCCGGGGGGGGCAAGTGGGGCAATTTGCCCCGGGCCCCGCAGGGGCCCCGCGAGCCCCGGCCGAGAATCCCTTCCCTGGCTAGAGGCGCCTTTTTACTTACCCAGCGGCGGTCCGGGTCTTCGGCGGAGGGTCCTTCAGTGCTGCCGAAGACACGGAGCGACTGAAGGACCTGCCGCTGCCGCCGCAGACTTGGAGCGCCGCCCAGTGAGTATGTCCGCTGCCCCGCTTTGCCCCAGGCCCCCTGAATGCTCTGGGGCCAGGCTCTGGACATCAGGGCGGTCTAAGGCTCAGAGTAGCCCCCCCCTCGAGCTGCAGGGGGGGCCTGGAGGAGCTGTTCCTTGGTTTGGGAAGGAGCCCAGATACCAGGGTGATGGGCGCCATGGACACAGCTGCCCAGGTGGATGCTAGCGAAACACAAGGACCAGGTAACCGGAGTGAAATGGGCTCAGTGCCATAGGAGATTCAGACTGCAAGATGAGGGGGCCCAAGTCTTGTGGGGCCACGTGATCCTGCTCACAGTCCTGCCGCTCGGCTGTCCTGTCCGTTAGCCCTTTTGGAGGCCGGCGCTGGAAAGTGGCAGGTCTGAATGGCCACCCAGCTGGTTAATCTCCCAGTTCCCACGCACCGCCCCCTCCTTTCCAGGGCGGGTTCTTCGACAGGAGACGCAGCCGCCTCGGCAGATCTTTCCACGTTGCAGACAATTCCCAGACTAACTGGAGGCCAGCGACGGAGATTAGGCCACGGAAGCTGTTTGGGAGAAAATGGTACATTTCCACGGAGGTTACCGAGCACAATGGGGGTGCCGCGGGAGATGCTGGTGCGCTGCGTAGCCCTGACAAATGGGGACGCCGTCGGTTTCACACTCGCCGGCCGCTTAGTGATGCTCCCCTGTCTATTTTATCAGTTCACACAGGCTGTTCCCCACAGGAGGCTCGCCCGGAAACGCTGCTCTTTCTTTCAGGGCTTGGCGTAATTTACAAGAGAATTGCATAGATCCCAGGATCACTTTACGCAGAACCCAGACAATTCTCCTACCCACAACGACTCAGCAGCACAGAGTTATCCAGAGAACTCGCCCATGTACCCCGCGCGGCATTTCATACCTACAGCCTCGAGGAGGAGACGATCCGGGGCGCCGAACTGGCTTGTGGAACATGGCACAGGTGGCCAGGCATCGGCTGATACCGGGCCAGCGGAACCTGAAAAGAGGGAAGGAAACAGTCTTTTATACGCCACTCTGATGTGCCCTAGTTGTATCTGACCATCTTCCATGACCATAACAAAATCAACCCCAGCCCATTACCCATAGGTAGCCTTCCAGGTGTCCATAACCAGGCTCCTAGTCATTAATATTAATAAACTGCATCACACATTTCTTAATAATTCCTATATGTAAATGCACTCTAACCGCCTAGCTACTGCATAGCAACCAACTGCTCTCCCTCCCCCTCCACAACTCCCTTCCCGCAGAACCCTGCAGTGCTCCCTTGGCACATCCTTCCTCCCTGTGCCCGCGGTTCCTACACCGGGCACGGCTGGTGTAACGGGGGCACTCAGGTGCTGAGTGGCCCAGCTCCCCTGTCACGGAGTATTGGGGAACTCAGGGCCCTGCACCCCCGGCTTCCTGCGATTCACCATGACTCTCAGCCAGCCA